AAAGATTAATGTCAATAAAGAACATCGTAATATTAATATTCAGCGTCACCAATTATACTGGTAAAAAAACGATATTAAAAATTGAAATGTCACAAATACTGGAAACACAGTTCACAAATACTGGAAATACAGTTCACTCGGCATTCGCAATGACGAAATTGTTGAAAATCAGAAAATTGTCAGCCATCTTGAATTCAGCGCCACCAAGTCAACCACGAGCACGTGCGATTAATCAATCCCGTGCAAAAATTCACAAAATTGTCACAAAACCAGCAAATTGACTCTTATAGACCTATATCAATGTCCAAAACACCCAAAAAAAAGTCACGTTAGACAACAAAACTAACGCTGGCACAAAAACTCTTCTGCTGCATGTTGGCAAAAAAATCGTCTGCTTCTCTAAAAGAAAATCATCTGCTTCTCTAAATCGACGATATCATTCGTTGAAAAATAAGTTCTTCGACTGCTGTATAGTCAAAACTAAGTCGAACTCTGCATATCAAATATCTTCAAGTTGTAAAAAAATTACTGCCACGAAGTTAGGTCCTTTGACTCAGAAAAACTGGTCAAAATTCTACATTCTTCGGAACCCCGCGAAAATCTTCACCATGGCCAAATCAGAAAATGTTGATCATCTATCACAAATTGTTGAAAATTCTTAATTGACGACACGCGGCATCTTCACCATGTGGTATTGGGATCCATTAAACCGGTCATCAATTCCGATGCTATCGGATTGAGCAAACTCGCTAAAGCAAAATAATTAACAGAGCCATTGTGCAATTTACCCACACACCACAAGGTGTGGAACCCGAAGGTCAAGGTCCTTTATTAACCGGAAATAACTCTAATACAAAAGAATGAACAAAAGGGAAATAACTCCAATATTGTTAGAGTAAACTAGTAATTATACGACAATACCTTTATACGTTTTATCATTCTCCTTATATGTATTACTTCTGCACTGGGTCACTTTGTCCAGGAGTCTTTTCCCCATTCGCTTCTGAATATGGCCACACCATTCCAGTTTGTCGATTGATGCATTGTTGTAAATGGGAGGATCAGCGTTGGCTACAGCGTTATAGGATTTGCAATCCTCATCTCCAAGATACCCTGTGTATCTCAGCTTCCGGAGTTGTTTTGATCGTCTGAATATCTTATCCATTCCAGCTGGCTCCATTGCACCACAGCCCCTTACTTTTGTGGTCTTTAGTCCATTTCTTTATATCTTCTTCACTAAGTTAGTGTTTCATTGAAGCACAAATATTGCAGTACTTGCTCAACACTTCGGTATCAACCACTCTACACCCAGCTCCATTGAGGTCAGCACTGTAGCAATACCATTTTTTCGAAGAAAAGCCTCTCTTCTGCCAGGTCCTATCACATGAAACGGTAACATCTGATTTGGTTTCTTCCCCTGTCTACCATGATTTGCTGCTCCTTTCTTCGATACCTCAGAGACAGTTTCTGTCATCTTACCTATCACCGTAAGGTGACGATTCCAACTCTATTCTAACTCCATATTTGTTGTGAATCGTTCAGCATGCATCCGATGTCTCCCTATGGCACACATCGCTAATGTGAACAACATAACATCGACTCTTGCTACTGATCCTCTTTGATGTTATGAATTTTTTTCAAAGTCAAATTCTTCACTGGTATATTTGACTAATATATTTGATGCTAATCCATTCAGGATTTCTTCAACTACAGTCAGTGTTCTGGCATAAGAACACATGAAGTCAGCAAATAATTCCATATCAATGATTCGAAAACCTTCAGGCCGACAATCTTCATTTTTATCCAATACTGTTGGGGTATTATGGCGAATTCCAAGTTTTATGTCCCTTCATCACACCCGGAATATCTACCAAACCATATAAGAAGGTATTTATCACAACCCAATGTGTGGTCATTGATACCATTATAGTAACATTAGCCTGCTAGCGTACTCAAACAGTGGTACACAAGCGAATCACATATTCCTGAAGCAATGATCCCATAAATCCCTCTCCGTCCATTGCTGGATTGGCGTCTGATACTTGAGCTTTTGAGGGAGTGTGTGTATTCTTCCCGTTCAATCAAATCTATCCCAAGTACTATGGCGGTATATTAGTGCCAAAATTCTAACATGCTATCGTCTAACTTCTATTCGTGTAACTTCTTATCTAAGACAATGTATATTCTAATTTCTTCATTTGTTCCTCGTAAATGGGGCCTTCTAATCTTGCAATTTTTATTCTATTTCATGTTATTTCTATTATTGTAAGGACAAATTTTCATTTCAACAACGCTTAACATGTTTAGAATGAACATTGAACAAATTAAGAATTTGATACGTCCACCTAGCAACCGTCATTATGACATCGTTTGGTGTCGCCACTGTATGCGCAGCTATCCACGCAATTACTGCTCACGGCCGGAAGTTTATACTGTTTTACGACAACAATTACGAATAACGGCATTGGCACAACCGGCTAAAAGATGTCAGATTCAATTGCCAAATCGAAAGCTCTGAATCTTTTAAAGCAAGCCGCACAGGCACTTACCGAAGTATCAGAATCCCAACAAACAGATAATATTAAGAATAATAAACCCGAAATACATGTACCAACCTCACATGCTCCACCCATGGCATCAGAAATCAAGAAGCTTTTTTCCCCGTACAGTAGTTACAGCAGGCCTGGCACTAGGCCTAGTACTAAGAAACATTTCCCTGCCACTGTCACTTCAGTCAGTGGGCCTGTGAGTTTTAAAATCATTGACACAGGAAATAATAACACAATTACCTCCCTTGTTTTTACATTCCCCGAATGGTATAGCTATCTTCAAACGTTTGAATTTAAAGTTGAAAATGATATATTTGCCAATTTCTCAACTGGCAATAGTGAATTATTGGATAAATAGGATTATTCTTTAACTAGGTAGGACTGTTTATAGGTACAATCTTTAAGGCTTTACTTTAATACATTTTAAAAATATAACTTAAAAATATGAAATTGCAACTTTGAGGTGCGAAATTTATATGTATTAATACTTGGTAGCATTTTACAATATTTTACATTTTACTTTGTTTTACGTTTAACACTAAAAGTAACGTTAACAACAGTATACAGAGTCTTCGACATCATGATATACACACAAATTATTGGTATGGTCCATTCTCGTCAATAGTGATGGTATCTTAGTACTGTGAAAATATGAGCCCTTGAATCACATAAACATAAGACAGTCAGTCACAGTGAATAATTTTAGAGAATGAGTTGTTGGTTGTATATGGCTAGCGATTGTGAGAACAGAGGAGGAAGACTTGGAGATACTGCAGACTGTGTGATGTAGCATGATTTACCCATATCCACCATTAAATTTCAACTCATAACTTATATATCGATATTTGAAATTGCATACACACCACGTTCTTTATTCCAAACCTGATCTACCATTATTTTGACTAATATCACAATAATCTATATCAATATTTGATAATATTCATTTCCTAAAGTTGAATTTTTATTTTCATTAAAAATCATAAAATTTTTAAGTTAAAATTCCCTCCTCAAAATGCGATCTCTAAGCAAGTATGGAATTTGTAACTAAGGGACATAACCCATGTATTGCTTCAAATCACTTGCTTAGAAATCACATTTTGAGAAACGTTTTTTTTAACAAAAACAATTGCCAATTTCAATTTAAAATACCAATTTTGACACAAAAACAGTGAATATATTAATTATCAAATATAGATATAAATTATTATTACCGTATACGAGTTGGAATAATGGTGGATCATGTAAATCGGGCTACTGAACTCTGAGATTAGACAGTGGAAAAAGAAGCAAGCAAAGGATAATCCTTTTACTGATTAGATTCCTGTTTAGTAATTTAATTGAATTTTGACTTTTTTTTTCCAGAATTTTGTACCTACTAGAGAACAAAAGAAAGAATCATTTGAAAATGGACTGGGTGAGAAAAAAGTAACATTTGAAAAAAATGACAACCCTCTGTACTTTAAAGAAAAATTGGAAAGTGTATTTCCGGCACTCAAGTCCTGCGGTGGATATGAACTTCTGCGAACAGAATTTGGCAGCAGATCGTCTTTGGAACTAATGATTCAGCCTAGGGTTGGGCGATATACCGGTATACCGTGATAAAATCATCGGCGATTTTATCATATCGGACTTACTTAAAAATATCGAAAAACCGGTTTATCGTGACTTAAAAAAATTATCGCGATTATGATAATTATCATGTCCCAATATTGATGATAATACATCGTCGCTTGGACTAGTAAGCGAGGAAAATGTGTTTGGCAAGGTCAAGGTTGGAGAGTATTTACCCCAGTCGCAACTGTCACTGTTCTGATTTTCAGACAAGTAGATTTTAGAACCCTGTTAGTTCTGGTTACATATTATCGTTATATTAAAACTTAATATTCTGCTTCGACTAACTAGTATGTCATTCTATTGATAGAATTAAATTCGTCTACAAGTATAAAATATAGCATATTAAGTACCGGCGGGTCAAGGGTAAATATCCATCATGGCGTCTAGCAACAGTAAAAAAGTGACAACAAGCGACGATTTGCTGCCTAAAAAAAATTCCTCCAGTCCCGTTTGGACTTTCTTTGGGTTTAAGCCAAACGACGTAGACCAGGCCACAATATTCTGCAAAGTTTGCACAAATCCAGTAATGGCTAAAGGTGGCAACACAACCAACCTATATCATCATTTGCGAACACGACACCCAAGTCAGTACAAAAGCTTTTATTTATACGGGATTGCCAGGGTTGATATTAATAAAATAATAAATTAAATACAACATACCTTTTTCTTTATTAGTATTTGATACAGTATGCACACAAGACAGGGGTCAAGACCGTCACAAGAATTCAAAATTAGACTTCTATAGACACACGTAAAAATTATCACGATAATATCGTTTATCGTGATATTAGATAAATTATTATCACGATATTTATTTTTCATTATCGCCCAAGCCTAATTCAGCCATCTACGGGCTTCCACACAAACTATTTAGCAAATGAGAGCTGTTTGGGCCAAGCAATGTGCTATGCAAGGCCAATCCAAAGGAATTTGGCCTTTGCCAGTGTATCTGTAGAAGGTGATGTAAGTTTTTTCTTTCATATTAAATTTAGTACATAATTTTTTGGAGAAGGAATTGTGTCCTTACTGTGTTTAATATATTCATTCCTACATTGTACTATATATTGACCCTATCAATTGCATCCCCTGTTTTGGATTTTGCCCCATTTCTACAAATTAATAAGATCTTAATCATTTTTTTTTTTTAATGTACTGACATTGATATATTTTATAACAGACAATCATGATGTAAGGTGTTTTGGGTTCGCAAATGAACCCATAAAAGTTTGAATTTAGTGGAGAGTAGGTAGGCAGATATGCAAATTTTCCCTCACAATATTATGTTTGATTTTATGTATTTGATACAGAAAAGTAGGACGTTAAAACCAATTTCATTTATCGTTTTCAGGATTTTAGCTGCCTCTCTTCTTGTTGTATTTCGTTATGATTGACGTCTGTATCTCTGCTGCTTTGGGAATATGGGCTGCAGTTGCAATGGATGCTTAAGGACAGACTTGGGAACATTCACTTGATTGCAATGTTTTGTGTGTACTGATGTGTCTTATGTATTGGTTTGTCTTCTTGGACTTTATTCAGCTATGTGTGGTGTTGTTCTTCTGTACTTTAAATTACCCATTGTAATTCTAGGACTTGTCTCAGGGACCAACTGAAGTATGTATAATATGCAATGATGAAATACCCTTAAAGAATTTGAGGAGGCATGTAGAGGATTGTGATGTAAGTATTTAACATTCAATTTTAATTAAGTTGACATTTTCGCCTGTTGTGTTGTTCTTCAGGGATTATTTTAAACAATGACTCTTGTTATGATTACAGTGAAACTTACCTTACTACAAATTTACCTACATCAATACCATAACTAAGCTTGTTCCCTAGTGTGATAACGAAGACAAGTTGTCTTATTATTAATTTTTTTTTCAGTATATTGAGTGTATGCGCAATACTCTTTCCCGGGAGGGAAAGGTGCCTCTATCCCTAAGCCACATGTGCTCGCACCAGGAATCAAAACCATGATTGCAAGCCACTACCAGCTGGAGCTCAATGCGAGACACACTAGGCCATCCCAACCCCCAAATCAGTAATATGTGTCATCTTTTTATTTTGAGATTTAATGCGCAGGCATCAGCCTCACTATTGGCATGTTACATTTTATAATAGAGCAACTAGTATTATAATGACCAATTCATCTTTAATCTTGCAAGACCTTTCATTTTTCTTTACTTTATGTATTTTACTTGCGTTCTTATATTTAATGTAAGTTGAAATGTCTTTCATTTACTTTCAGAAAAATTGTAACAATGATGATAATGACCTAGATATTTTACCAGAGATCAATTTTAAGCCAATGAAGAAGTCGCAACAACCAATATGCAAGTATACTTGTGTACCGGTATGTATTTCACTTATAAACTATTTATGACACTTGTAAAAAAAAAGATTGTTTTCATACTAAAATGCAAAAGGATATCTTTGATTGGTGCATTATTATTTAAACAATCTGGGCCGGTTCAGAAAAATAGGATGTTAATCCCCATTTCAATTCACCGTTATCCCAATCTAAATCCAGGGAAATGTTTGATGCAACTAATAAGGGTGTTAATTTAATTTATTTTTCATGACTAGAGAATTGCAATGAATTTAAACAGACTTAATACTTTGGTAAATTTTGATCAACTTTCATAAAATCTACCCAGTTGTATATTTTACTAAAATGGTTGTCACAGTTGAGGTTTATGATATAAGCTTCAAATTGCTGTACAAAAATAACTCTTCATGTCTGATTATGGTGGAAGTGTTTACTGAACTTGTTATTTCAGGCAGTGAAATGTACAGAAAATTTAGATGAAACTCCGGCAAAGTAATTTGAATGTGTTATTAATAGTCTGGTATAGGGTGCCCCACCATCAAAAAATATCTCCAAACATATTGATAATAATGCCAAAATATTCATATATTAATTTGAAAGATGTATATATTTACACTACCATACTGCTGATTATCTCTGTTGTGTAATCACTTGAGAGCTCATCATTTGAGGGTAAACAGCAGTTATTAGAGCAAATTTTCGCTGCGTGGGGCACCTTATCTATGTTTTATTTTACGCATTGTTGAGATTCACTATTCCCATTCATACTGGCACTTGTTATGTTTAATATCACGATATGTTCACATTTTATTGTCCCCCGCCTTTCGAATAAAGTTGGGACTATTAAAATGGGTTTGTCTGTCTGTCCTTCACACTTTTTGGGACACAATAACTCTCTTCCTAATTGAGCTAGAATGTTCAAACTTGGTGTATGTGTTTATTAGGTCAATGCCTTGATGGATTTCGAAGATGAGCATTTTCCGCTTAGGGTAAGCAGAGATAAGCAATTTGATTGGTTGATGCTTTGGGACAAGATAACTTTAGTTCTAATTAAGTGAGAGTGATGAAACTTAGTGTATAGTTTCGTTACAGTAATACCTTGACTAAATTCGATAATGAGCATTTTCTGCTCAGGGTAAGCAGAGCGATACGCAATTTGATTGGTTGAGACTTTGGAACACAATAAATCTCCTAATTGAGTTGGGGGTTGGGATGGCCTAGTGGTCTAAAGTGCCACGCTTTGACCTCTAGCTGGCCGTCACCTCTGGCTTGCGGCTGTGGTTTCGAGCCCTGGTGTGAGCGTATGTGGCATGGAGATAGGGGCGCCTTCTTAACCTCGTGGGTTTCCTCCAGGCACTCCGGTTTCCTCCCACTGCTAAAGATTCCTACGCGCAAGCGGATTGTTGAAATAAAATTAAACCATATGTTAGTCCTGAAATGACCTAGTTGTGTTGAGTGGATGTTAAACCCCATTTCTCTCTCTCGCTCTCTAATTGAGTTAAAATGTTCAAACTTGGTGTATATGCTTATTAGGTCAATGCCTTGATGGAGTTCGAAGATGAGCATTTTCCGCTTAGGGTAAGCAGAGATAAGCAATTTGATTGGTTGATGCTTTGGGACACGATAACTTTAGTTCTAATTAAGTGAGAGTGATGAAACTTGGTGTATAGTTTCATTACAGTAATGCCTTGACTAAGATCGATAATGAGCATTTTCTGCTCAGGGTAAGCAGAGCGATAAGCAATTTGATTTGCCGAGACTTTGGAACACAATAACTCTCCTTCTAATTGAGTTAAAATGTTCAAAATTGGTGTGTATGCTTATTAGGTCAATGCCTTGATGGAGTTTGAAGATGAGCATTTTCTGCTTAGGGTAGGCAGAGATAAGCAATTTGATTGGTTGATACTTTGGGATAAGATAACTTGGGTTCATCTTGATTGATGATTTTTATGCCAATACAATGACTGCATTCTCATTCAGTAATGGACTCGACAGTAACAGTGTATAGAAACGAATGATTCGGACACGAGGGCCCTTTCCCTTGGATAGAGGGGCGCCTTTGTCTGCCTTTAGGGTCCCCCTAACTAGGGTACATTTTCATTTTTCTCGTCGGTTTTAGCATTTTTCTTTATAAAACACTTTTGGATGACACTTCATGTACAGTTTGATTGCTCTATACGTTTGAAAAAAATAAATGGGCGAATAATTAATATGTTTCATCTATTTATTTTGGGATTTCGGCGGGGGACATCAGCCTCACTGTTGGCTTGTTTATTCTTAATATTGTTTTTAATGACATTAACTAGAAGATAGTTGAGAAAAAGTACAAAGAATAACTCTTCTTCCAATTGAGGTAGAATTAATGTTCATACTTGGTGTGGATGTCCTTACTAAGTTTGATGATGTGAATTTTAGCCTAAGGAACATAATAACTCGGTTTTAAGATGTTGATCAGTTAAATGCCTTGACAGAGTTTGATGATTATAATTTTCCGCAAGGACTGAGCAGAGATATGCAATTGGGTTGGTTGATGCTCTGGGACATGATTACTTTGATTCTAACTGAGAGAGTGATGAAACTTGGTGTATAGTTTCCCTAAATCAAAACCAAGACAAGTCTGGGTCATCTTTTCATTTGGGAATAAAACAGCCATAGTGTTAGATTGTTGAGAAAGAGTAATGAAACTTATGTATGTTCTTTTGTGAATATTTTCTGCTCTGGTTTAACAGAGTGATAACTAATTTGATTGCTCGATACTTTATTACGAGACGAATGTGCAACTTATTAATGTTTATTTTGGGATTAAGATGGGAAGATCAGCCTCTCTATTGGTTTGTTTTATTTTCAGATGTTCGTTTTGTATATTATATGTTGGTATTTATAAGTTATATCTTTATTGGATTATGATTTAAATATTTTTCAGAATCAACTATGTTCAGTGTCCGCTGTGTCAAGACAGTTTTAATAAAGATGTCATAGAAATTCATTCTTCAACCTGCAATGGTCTGAGTGAAAGGTATATCTGACCTCAATCTGTTGAACATTTGCATTAATAGTATGTTATGATGCCTTGTATTTAACTGTGAAATTGAACTGAGAAGATCTATGGGTCTGTACCGAAAACTTTATTCTTATTTGTATTGTTTATTTTTGCATTTTCTTTTCTGAGAATCCCCCCTGGGGTGTAGGGGGTGATAAGAATATACCCTTCGTATGTCCTGCGTGTCGTAAAAGGCGACTAAAAGGATCCCTGTAATGGGGCAACGTGTTTGCCGTGCGTTGCGACCCGTGTCGGTGGAGAGTGGAATCCTGGTAATTGAGTGGGGATTTGGCTTGCGAGCCCTTTCTCTGCAACACATTACTTTGGCCCATGGTTCACCTAGACGGGAGGTCAGAGTGGCCCACTCTGATCAATCGGCTTTGGTCGTTTTTAGCTCTGTAGAATGTATATTTTTCCAATTTCATTGCTTTGTTGTTTTCACTCAGCAGGTTTACCTTTGTGTCCTGAGTACATTCTACAGAGCAGCGGCTTGGGTCAATCAGGTTAGACAAGTATTTTTACTTTCTGGCTTGAGTATACCCCTCGTCGAGCCCTGAGGCCATGCGCCGGATATCCGCGCTAGTCCTCCCCTTAGTAGGCAGGGCAGTAACCTGGGGGACGACGAGGGGTGAAAGAAAAATATATTATACATGGATTCCCCCCCACACCACCTATTAATAAACAAAATAAAATAAAGCAGAAACGTCCTAATACTGAGGACGTTTCTGACTTATTTACAAATAAATTAAAAATATCAAAGGCATGGCCGAGGTTTCTCTTGATTGAGAGTCCCTCTACCGACCTTTCTAAAGTTTCCCCATTTTTGATAACCAAGGGTATCGCTGGCTTGGCCGGTGAACCCAAGGCTATCAAAAAACTTAAGAATGGAACATTATTGATAGAATGTGCCAAGGAGCAGCATGCTACCATGCTGCTTAAATCAACATCTTTGGCAGACATCCCTATCAAGGTGTCTCCACATAGGTCATTGAATTCAAGTAGAGGAGTTATTCGTTGTCGGGATCTTGAAGGCAGCAGTGAGGATGAAATGGTGGAATACCTTTCATCTCAAGGCGTCCAACATGTTAAAAGAATAAGTGTACGCCGAGGAGACAAGGTGATTGCAACCAGCACCTACATCCTCACTTTTAATCGTCCCGACATTCCAAAGACTCTCAAGGCAGGTTATTTGAATATTCCTGTTGATGCTTATATAGCTAATCCTCTTCGCTGCTATAAATGCCAAAAGTTTGGACACAGCAAAACTGTCTGCAGAGGTAAGGACACCTGCGCTCGTTGTGGCCATGATGGCCACGAAAGCGCTACCTGCCAGGCTGAGTTTTGTTGCGTAAATTGCAAGGGTAATCATTTTGCTTATTCCCGCGAGTGTCCAGTATGGCAGAAAGAGAAGAAAATTCAACAGATTATGTCTGAGCGGAAGATATCATACTTCGATGCCAAGAAACAGGTAGAACTTACTGCACCTTTTCCCATTGCACCACAAGGGAAAACTTTCTCAAGTGCAGTCAAAGCATCTACAAAATCTATTTCTGTTCAGACAGATATAACCTGGCCTAGAAAAGAGAAAATGCCTAGAACAATAACATCAGATCATAATAAAGGGGTATCGAGCTCCTCTCAAACAAATGAGAGCTCGACCGAAACTATTATTTCTTTGACTGGCGAGGGTTCATCCTCCTTGCCTCAATCCGAAGTTGTTGGGATCATTCCTAACACTTCCTCTCAGAATGGCAAGGGGTCATCTCCCTCGCCTCCCCTTGAAGCTGTTATCCTTGATTCCAGTTCTACTGGATCAGGATCGCAGTTAAAGGGTAATTCTTCAAAGAAAGATAAATTAGCAAAGTTTCGTGAGGGAGGGAAGAAGGGTTCAAAAGACCCAATCTCTCTCTATAATAGATATGGGGATGATCTGATGGACGGTATTGCCGTCGTGGATGTCCATACGGACCCACATGGTAAGCCGTCAAAAAATAAAATTCCCTGACAATGGTAAATTCCATTATTCAATGGAATTGTCGTGGTTTAAAACCAAATTTTAATGAAGTCCAATTATTAATTCAAAAGCACAATCCTTTAGCTATTTGTTTACAGGAAACTTTTTTACGGAATTCTGACACTTTGTCTTTTAGACAATTTGTTGGTTACCATCATCATTCAGCTGGTGATGGTAGAGCTCATGGGGGTGTCTCTATTATTCTTAATGGAGATATCCCTCAAAGTAAAGTCACACTCAACTCGCCTTTACAGGCAGTTGCAGTAAGGGTGACTTTGCATATTCCTATAACACTCTGCTCTGTATATCTTCCACCAAGTTTACATCTTAATCCCAGAGATCTTGATGACCTTGTTGCACAACTTCCTCTCCCATTTATTATTACGGGAGATTTCAATGGTCACCATTCGCTCTGGGGTAGTCCAGATGATAACAACAGAGGTAAACAAATAGCGGACTTCATTAACCTTAATAATTTGTGTTTATTAAATGACGACTCGCCTACATATCTACATCCTGCCACAGCTTCTTTTTCTTCCCTAGATCTCACCATTTGCTCTCCGGTCCTGTTTCAGGATTTTACATGGAGAGTAAATGAAGATCTGTGTGGTAGTGACCACTTTCCTATCTTGATTGATAATAATGGCCCCTCTCCGGTCGAAAGACCCCAGAGGTGGAAGTTGCATAAGGCTGATTGGGCTCTGTTTGAATCTTTGTGTCTCTTCTCTTTTGATATAAAGGAGTTAGAAGATGCAGTTGAGCCCATGGCCTTATTCACTTCAATTCTTCAAGATGTAGCTGAGCAGGCGATTCCAAAAACCACGACTGAACCAAAACGTTTCAATAAACCATGGTATAATGACGATTGCAAATCCGCTCTAAAAGAGCGTGATCGTATCCTAAGACGACTAAAGAACCATCCTTCCATGGAGAATATTGCGGCATACCAGATGGTCCGGGCGAAGGCCCGTAGAACCATACGTCAAGCAAAGAAGTCTTCATGGGAAGGTTACGTCTCTAGGATCAATTCCCGTACAACATCAAAATCGGTATGGGATAGGATTCGTAGGATTAAAGGTAAAAGTAGTGCATTATCAGTTAACCATCTAAATGTTGATAATACCACCTTAACAACATTTCCTGATATTGCTAATTCTCTGGCCAGTACATTTTCATACAATTCATCATCCAATTTCTCCTCCAATGCCTTTCTAGGCATTAAACAACAGCAGGAGAAAAGGCGACTTAATTTCAAGTCCCGTAATGATGAATGCTATAACGATACTTTTTCCATTGCAGAACTTCGGGATTCGCTAAAGCGAGCTCGGGACACTGCAACTGGTCCAGATGAAATACACTACCAAATTCTAAAACATCTACCTTTTCCCACTCTCTTAATTTTACTAGATCTTTTTAACCGGATTTGGGTTGATGGGAAATTCCCCCCTTCGTGGCATGAAGCCACAATAATTCCCATCCCTAAACCCGGTAAAGATCATACGAATCCTACCAATTATCGTCCGATCGCTTTAACTAGCTGTATTTGCAAAACCATGGAGAGATTGATCAATCGAAGGCTTGTTTGGTACCTTGAGTCCAACAACCTTATTACAGACCTCCAATGTGGATTTCGGTCCCAAAGGAGCACTCTTGATCATCTCGTTCGATTTGAAACGTTCGTCAGGGACGCTTTCATCCAGAAGCAACATTTAGTTGCAATATTTTTTGATCTGGAGAAAGCATATGATACTACATGGAAACATGGTATCATGCGCGACCTCCATAACCTCGGCCTACGAGGTCGCTTACCTATCTTTATTAAAAATTTCCTGGAAGATAGGTCATTTAAGGTCCGACTGGGATCAATCTTCTCTGACCCATTTCCTCAGGAAATGGGGGTTCCCCAGGGAAGTATTTTATCTCCAACATTATTTGCAATAAAAATTAATACTATCCCAGCGTGCCTTAAACCAGGTACAAACGGGGCTCTCTATGTTGATGACTTTCAGATGTGCTATGGTTCTACAGACATGCGGATAATCGAACGTAAGTTGCAGCTTTGTTTGAATTCACTTCAACAATGGGCAACCGAAAATGGATTTCGTTTTTCGAAATCCAAGACTGTCTGCATGCATTTCTGTCAGAAACGAGGTTTACATCCAGATCCAGAACTTTTCTTGGATGGCAACCGCCTTCCAGTTGTGGATGAAACCAAATTTCTGGGGCTGATATTTGATAAGAAATTATCATTTATCCCCCACATTAAAAACCTAAAAAAGAAATGTCTGAAATCCCTCAACATATTGAGAGTCTTATCAAATACTGACTGGGTAGCAGACCGTAAGGTCTTGCTCCGATTATATCGAGCACTTATAAGATCAAAACTCGATTATGGGTGTTTTGTGTATGGGTCTGCCCGCGAGTCTTATCTCAAAGAGCTCGACACCATACACAACCAGGGACTTAGAATCAGTTTAGGAGCATTCCGTACATCTCTAGTGGACAGTTTATACGTCGAGGCGCATGAGCCCTCACTGCACAACAGACGTGATAAACTGGCCCTGCAGTATGCTACGAAAATTGCATCACTTCCAAACCATATTTCATTTAACACCATATTTAGACCTCTTCATGAGCATTTATATCTTGTTAAGACTAACGTCATTCCATCTTTCGGTATTCGCATTCAACCCCTTTTGTCTGAGGCTGGTATCAGTCTGGACAGTATCGCGAATACCCCTCTCTTTGAGACTCCACCGTGGGCTGTATCTCCCCCAAAGATCGATTTCGATCTTTCGCAACATAAAAAGAGAGATACTAGCTCGACGGTGTTTCAGTCTCTCTTTCGAGAGCTAAGGTCTAAATATGGTGATTATGCTCCAATATATACAGATGGTTCGAAAGATGATGATCGGGTAGCTTCGGCTACTGTGACACCATCTGAGACAATTTCTGTCCGCCTTCCACCTGCTTCTTCCATCTTTACAGCTGAACTCCAGGCCATTCTACAGGCCTTGGAGTTCATTCAATCATCATCTATATTTAAATATATAATATTTACTGATTCTTTGTCCGCCCTACAAGCAATAATCAACAAACAGCTTGATCACCCATTAGTGGCAGGCATTTATCGTCTGCTACTATCATTCAGGTGTACCAGCAAGGACATTGTCTTTTGCTGGCTCCCCAGTCATATGGATATCAAAGGGAACGATCAAGCAGACTCGGCTGCCAAGTCTGCCTTAGATCTTCCCATATCTGAATTTTTAACGCCATATAAAGATTTTAAATTTATTATAAATAATTTCATTTATGGCCGCTGGCAACGGTCTTGGGATCTTGCACGCACAAATAAACTTCATCACATTAAGCCTCTTTTAGGAGATTGGCCAAGCTCCTATAAAACTAACAGGAGAGATGAAGTTGTTTTGTGTCGCTCTCGCATTGGTCATACTTTTTTAACTCATATTTTCATTTTAAAGCGAGAGCCTCAACCAGAATGTGAACACTGTCATCTTCCTTTGACAGTTAAGCACATTTTGATTGAGTGCAAGCATTTCAAGGATATTAGATCGAATTTTTACCGTTGTCAGTCACTACAGCACATGTTTGCCCAAACGGGTTTATATGGTAAAGTGTTAGACTTTTTAAAGGAGACAGGTTTTTATAATAAATTTTAATTGTATATATATCATTTTATTTTTGTATTTAATATTTATATGCATAAAAGTTGTATTTTATTTTTAATTTTATTAACTGTGATATTGTTTTTATTTATGCATATAATGTTTTTCTGTGATATAGTTTAGCCTGTCTTGTGATTTTCACCATATGTTTGGCGCAATATAGCCCGGTTGGAGCTGACGTGCCATAAAACCACATTTCATTCATTCATTGCATTACGCCACAAGTCTCATTTATCTCTTGTGGTTCTTTTTTGATAAACAAGCCAGTATGTTCAACAACTTTGTCTAAAATGTATAAAATTAAAAAGCATACATATTAAGGTTAACGCATTATGTATCGTCTTTTAAACATATTATATGTTTTTGTTAACCAGACAGGTTGATGTATGTAAAGTTAGAAGACAAACTCGTGATTTCCTCAGACAAACGGATTAATTACTATATATTTGTTCTTGTCAACAAGGCTGTGCCATTTTGTTCTTTTATTTCTAGGCAGTGGATTATGATATCTGTATTCTGATTGGTCAATGGTCTTCTGTCGATGTAATATTAATTAGTGTTTATTATTATCAATATTTTAATTAATGGTTATTATAAACAAAATGTGATCATATAAAGTCCACTACGTAAATCAGGTCGGGAATCAGGTGCAAAAATCCATTTTGTAAAGCCACAACGGCGACAATAAATGGACTGCCTAGGTAGAATTATATCGTATTTTATATTAAGTTGACAACCTTTTGTAATGTCGTCTACTAATCTATCCGGTGAATTTGGTTTAATTAGCTGTGGATCATATATCGGTATACTACAGTCAATATCACCAATCTCATCTATATTCCAAAATTCCTGTTTTATCAACCGTTTATCATCTGTTGGTAGACTACAATCTATATCATCAGTCTGATGTACATCTAGAGGTTCTTGTTTTACCAGTAGTTTATCATCTGTTGGTAGACTACAGTCTATATCATCAGTCTGGTATACATCTAGAGGTTCTTGTTTTCCCAGTAGTTTCCCATCTGTTGCTTGAATATCAACTGACGAATAATCGGATTCATTTATTCCTACATCTGAAATATTGCGATATAAAAGAATAAATAGAAAGAGCGGGAGAAATGAGGTTAAATGTCCACTCGACACACACTTGGTCATTTCGGGACTAGCATATGGTTTATTTCTTTTTCAATCATTCTCTTGAGCGTAGGGGTCTTTAGCAGTGGGAGAAAACCGGATGACCTGGAGAAAACCCACGAGGTTGGACAGGTGACCCTACTCCTTGTCACGTACAACCGGGGATTTGACACCACGCCAGGCGACTCAATGACAAGCCCTATAAAACATTGCGCACGTGCTAACCATTTGGCCATTCACCCGCCCCCCCCCCCTACATAATAAATAAAGACAGATATAAACTAAATGGATATGAACACGTAATAATAATGTCAGATTTACAAATCCTCAAAATACAAAGGGGGTATTATGCCATAACGAGTCAAGCTACTGGATACTGCGATTGGCCAAAACGTATTCTGTTCTGAACATAGCATCTGTTTTACAACAAAAATACTAAAGATACAGTCGGCCAAGAAACACTACTGGTTGTTAATTACCGAATAAAGTTTACCTTGTCCATTATTATCATCTTCAAACTCTTCTTTAATTCTGTCTATGATAACATTTTGTTCATAAATTCGGTCCAGCTCATCACACAAAATACGGTTTCTCACTTTCGTCATTTGTAGATCCTCATTTCTTGTGTCCCGTTCCTCTTTTAGTTGGTCAAGTAGCTTCGTTTTCGTTCTCATCTCAGACTTAAATCGAACCAAGATATTGGTTTTTGTTTTTAAAGCCATCCTCCATGAGTTCAACGTCGTTTTTATCCGTCGGTTCTCTTTGGCAGATATGCGAAGCGCCTGTTCACTCTCCCGTTTTATTTGTTGATGTTTTTTCTGTAACTGTAAATATTTTTTCTCTGCCTGTAATTGTTTCTCTTCCCTTTTAACTATTCCACCCATATCAACATCTGAAATTATTATAAATAACAAAATAACGTTATGTCATATATCTGAAATAAATCCACTTCAACATATTAATATAAGAATAATAGGTGAATCCTCGAAGGAAAGTATTTAATTCAATATCGCTGACAAACTAAAATAATGGTATCGAATGTAAATTGTGCTATTTTACTTACCCGATGATAATTGTTCGGCTACTGCTCCATATCCTGATTTATTTAAACAATCAATAAATTTTGGATATGCATGTCTACCACAAGTTCGAAGAATATCTAGAAATTGACGAATCATTGGTTTTGTACCACCGCTAGATTCCGCTCTACTGATTTTTTCCAAGTCATCTTCATTTAGGACATACATTTCAATTAAGCTGTCTAATAATGGGTGTAGAGGATTCAGATTCTCTGTTAAATACACGTAGTTAGATCTTATCCTAAATTCATCTTCAGGTGGCATCTTTCCTTTCTCTCTTCTAGCTATAACTTTTCTCCTCTTAGCATGGGGTGGACTCTCTTGGTATTCAACTGAAACAATAAACACCAAGATATTATACCCGTGTCTATAACAACAAATATTTGTATCATTAACATTCAGGTGTAATGACTACTATTTGAAAATGGACTTCATGCAAAAAAAAATATCACTGATGTTTCAATGCCATATAATATAATGCATTTCCGGAAAGCATCAAACAAAATCTATAACTATCGTTATGGATAAAGAAAAGTTTCAAAACATTATTCATTTTCTCATTGACAATGCCATAGTTGAAGTTGGAGATCAGATAATACAGCAAACTATTGGTTTGCCAGTGGGAACTGACCCCGTCCCATTTATGGGAAAAGCACATTTATATAAATATGAATTCTGCTTTCAGGATCATAAACGAAAAACTGATCACAAAGTAGCTAAAAGTCTAAACTATACCTTCCGATAACATAACACCTATCGCACAGAACTAATATTAAATAAAAAAAAATATGGCACTACAAATGCATCTGTTCTTGGCCTGGATATTAATATAATTAAACAATAAATTTAATGTCGGTATTATCAGATTGTATTTATTTTATACATGTAGCGTGGAATGAAAATTAATCGAAATGGGGTTTACTGTCCATTCAACAATTAAATGGGTTTTGTCGGGCCAGACTCAAGTTTTCAGTGGTTAAAAGTGCAATTTGTGAAATGTTGCCTCTGTGTTCATTGTATTGTATCTCATACATGTTGTTATAATTATTATATTACTTTGTATACGGTCCCGTTGGGTTTCTCCTAACACTATTTGATCAACTTTGCTTCAATTTCATCAACAGTAGGCTAGTCTAAATATCATCTGAATTAGATAGTTCTATTATGCATTTGTCTATCATGCAAAATGCAGAATGGAGAAGTGTAATGTGCAAAATAACTATTATACTGTATTTAGTATTATTGAAAAGTGTATTCTGTATTTTAACACTTTGACATTAGTATTGTGGTGGAATGGAAATTGCAAATTGTAAAACTAGAATACGTATTTTGAAGAACTGCGGACATATGCATTTTGCACGTGAACATTGAAATAATATTGGCAACTTTATCCTTATATCCTTGTACCTGGTCAATACGATGTATTCTTATAACTGGGCAATATAAGATTTATCCTTATAGTCTTCCTGGATTTGTTTATAAAGATTGTCCAGATTTTAATGTTTATGTTTGAAATATATTTACCTGTTCTGGTATTACCATGTAAAGTTTCTGTTTGTGAAACTAAAGCTGATCCAGTATCTGTACTACTACTGGTACTAGGGGTTGGTCGTGTTTCTACTTGGAAAATTGAATTCATAATAGTGGAATGACTTTCTGAAGATTTCCTTTTACCATTATTTGTCTTACCAGACATGTTAGATCGTCCTGCCAATAAAGGTATTAAATGAACGCTTCCACAGAGGGAGAGAGAGAGAGAGAGAGATTATGCACAATAGTGGACAAGCAGTTACATAAACTGTTGAAGTCAAAATAATTCGTGACAAATGTTATGTAGTAAAATAAAGACCGGGGTGAAACGTTTGCCGAAAGTTGGCCGACATATCGCCGCCTGGACGAAATGACCCCCCCCCCCTCTACCATATTACATTGCACAGTGATTATCAATAACAGTACTATTCACAGAGTGAATATTGCACTGGTTGATTCCAGTGTTGGCGGCGGTGGTGTACATAATATAAACAACATATCTCGGCACTCGTAGTACGCGGTTGCCGAGTTGGTGAAGAAATGAAAGACGTTAAATCACATCTCCTTCAATCTTTTGTTCACTCAATAATTACCCCAAATTTTGAAATCTTCTGACTGAGACAAAATAGCACCCAGCCTCTCTCGGTTACATGGTTTTTAGAAAAGGTGGGAAGTCAAATTCTTCATATAGATGTAAGCCATGGACGAGAACTAATTACAATATTACATGAATAATTATACGAATACTACGTTTGAAGATTATGATTGATAAGGAATATTAATGACGACTTGTGTTTTATAATTGAAATGAGTGTAAGAACAATGCGCATGAGTTCAACAAGACGAAATGAGTTTGGTAAAAACAATAGATACGGTTATTGAGTCTTCTCTAGTGTAGATGACACCCCACTCAAATTGTTAACAAACCGTTGTCATGCAAGATGCGCCCAGATGGACAGAAAACAAGCTAAAAGAAAAAATACAATAAGGTGCTATAATCCAGGGTGTTACGGTCCGACATAACAAATTTATGTCCACAAGCTAATGACACGATTTTTCGTACAATCAGGGGCCATAATCCATGAAGTTACGATCCAATACACGCCGATATCGAAGGGAGGCGAGATCTTTGGGAGATAAACCTATATTTCAAGTTTCGTCAAAATCTGATAAAATTTTTTGACCTGTAGAGTGTCCACAAACAAAATGTGGACGGACGGTGCGACGACAATAAAAGTTATAATGTGAACGTATAAAATTATATTACTTTGACGAAAATGAATTACGAGGTAAACTGTATGCTTGACATGTGAATAAAGGTCTAATTAATGATTTATATAACATTTGAGGACAAACGGAAGATCCGCATTTTAACTCGAAACCGTGATGGCTTCTTTTCTCTACTTTTGATTGATCAATGCCAATATCAAACACCCATGAGGGAATCCCAAAATCGAAACTGACATGCTGAAAAAATAATAAGTGTTAAAATATATACCGAGGAACCCTCACCCCAATCAATGCTAAATTAATTCATGCGCATACAACCACTGAGACCAGTAATAAATGTACATACCTGTGAGCTTCTCAGCCAATTCTTTATATTCCAGGTCTATCAAACATTGGATAAATGCATCAAAATGTTTCGGGTTGCCTTTTAGTATTCTTATTAATTCGGATACACCATCCTTTGGTTGTTTAGCGACTGCGTTTAATATGCTGGTCAATTGATAATCATGAACAACAAAACGTTCATGTAATTTGCGTGCCACAGTTTCAATCTCGTCCGCAAGTGTAGTTCGTAGTAATTCGCTGTTTGCCGTTAAAATGACCCTGTGGTGTGGCAGGTCACCTAAATTAAAATATAAATGGTCATTTATTAAAGGTGAAACATACCAGAAAAAAAACCAGGTCAATTTGGGACTAACATATGGTTTTATTTTATATCAATAATATGCTTGTAGGTGCGAACCCTACTCCTAGTAACGTACAAGCTGAAAATTTAAACCACGTATGTTGACTCAATGCCAGACCTGTATGATCTAAAGAGCACCAGTTTAGACCATTCGACTATTTGTGCTGTGTGCCTTCTTAACCTCAACTTTCAGAATATCAACCTCACCATATTCCTCGTGTATCTCTGATCTGTTGCCGACTCCTGAATGTGATACATCATAGTGACGTCTATCCGCCATTTCTCTAATCATGAACTGATTCCCTTGGGACGAACCAGACATTTCTCCATATCTCTGATCTGTATGGTGCAGTATTACAGTATCTGAATTTAAAAAATATTGAAAAATAACATTATTTTTTTTCTTAGAGGGAGAGAGAGAGAGATGATAAAGGTGTGTAGTAAAATAGATTCCAGAGATGAAACCTCTAATGAAAGTTGGCAGAGCCATCGCTGTCTGGGCAAAATGATATCTCTCTACATTGCACAGAGATTATCAATAACAGAACTATTTGCACAGTGACAATGAGACGACGTTTAGGTATCCGTAGGTCTTACAAAGTAACATAAATATTTCATAGCACGCTACGTGGTGTATACCAGATTTTATTTGCTCAGACATGTAAGGCGTTAAATCCCATTTCATCCAGTCTTTTGTTCACTCAATAATTGCCCTCAATTTGGCTGAAAATCAGTAATGTTCATCCTCTCACAGTCACGTGGTTTCAGAAACGGTTGGCATTCACGCTCAAAATTATTCCCATTATTTTCGTTAAATTCTTCAAATAAGCCATGGACAAGAACTAATTACAAGATTACATAAATAATTATAGAGTTATAATAGTTAGATATTATCCTACTGTTATCTTCAGGTGACATCATCCTCGCCTCTCTTCTAGATATAAACTTTCTCCTCTTGGCACGAGGTGGACTCTCTTGGTATTCAACTGAAACAATAAACACGACGATATTATACCTGTGGCTGTAATAATTTGTATCATTGACAATAATAATATTATAGCAAGTTTTTGTTTATAAGACGTTAAAATAATGATGATCACCATTGACAAATTAAAATTCAACTAAAGGATTTCTTACAGGTCATTATGCTTCGTGCCATACAATAAAACGCACTTTTGAAAAGCATCAAACCAAATCTATAATTACAATTGATTTACTACCGGATATGACGTATTGCAGTTGACTCCACTTTATTAACACAAACACGAGAGTAACAAGAATTTTATGCAACTTATTTCCCTGTGATGACAACTATATAACATAATGAAATCAGATGAATGTGATGACAACTATATAACATAATGAAATCAGATGAATATGATGTAAAATTCAGGTCAAGGTAACGAGTAGAAAACAATATTATCATACTTCTATACACGCACTGATTTACATAACAACATATATTACTAGACACATAACAATATTATCATACATCTATACCCGCACTGATTTACATAACAACATATATTACTAGACACATAACAATATGGTGTTAATATCATGTCTGAGGGTGATGATGATAGTAAATAACGTACCGTATTGATATGATGTTAGTATCATTGTCTGAGGGTGATGATGATAGTAAATAACGTACCGTATTGATATGGTGTTAATATCATGTCTGAGGATGATGATGATAGTAAATAACATACCGTATTGATATGCTGATGTGGTTTCTTGTTCTGTGTAAGAAAGTTCATCTTCTTTGTGTTTCAGTGCTAGCTCCCAATTTCTCAAATTGTTTTCCCGTTGTTTGTGTTCCTCTTCTCGTTGTTTTTGTTGTTCTTCGCGTTGTTTTTGTTCCTCTTCCCGTTGTTTCAATTGTTCAATTTGCTTCGTCAGTTTAGCTATTTCGGCCAATCTGTTTTGATTGACTACTTCTTGGTCTTCAAACAACTTCTTCGCCTCTTCGTACATTTCGTTTTTATAATAGGCCCCACCATTTTTCTGTATAGTTGTCTGAAGTAATTGTAAGATTCTATCAACATCCTTCGTCTTTCCTTCTGTTGTATCTTTCCTTCCATTATTGATCGTTGCGGATGGGCAATGTTTAAAAACATCACTAAATGTTGACAAATGAGTATGAAATTCGTCTATAGCACCATCTTCACTTCGATCAACCAGTAGATCTTTCCCAGTAAACACCACAACGGCAAATTTATCAATCATTTCACCGAAGGTATTTTTAAAGTATTCAAGAACTTTTATGTCATCTTGTGAGAGCCTTGAGTCAATTCTGAATACCATAATAAATAAATGGGGCCCTGGTGATAAAATATTAATACATTTAACGATTTCCTTGGCTATTGTTTTGTTACTGTTACCCGTGTCAAACAAACCTGGTGTATCCACAACTTTTAGTAATGTATCTACACCATTTAATTGAAGATGTCGTTGTCCCGAACCACATTCTGATGTTACAGAGGAAGTCTGTTGTTGTGATTTAAAGATATTGTGTTGTAACAGCGCATTCCCTAGTGCGCTCTTACCAACCCCTGTCTTTCCTATAATGGATACCCGGATTTCTGAAAATAAAACAAACATTGGGTAACAGGAGAGGTTCGGGATTTGGAAATGTTATAGAAGTACAATATCAAATAACTACAATGCCATACTGAGAATAATCACTGACATCATACAACCTACTGAGCTATATCAACATCTATATATCTAGATACATTTGGTGTTCAATGGTCGAAAGTTTGAAATGAAATGAATCCCGGAAATACATATCCCCTCCTCAGTAGATTAATCAGGTCGTCTCTTTTTGAATAAAGATTTTATTGATAGACTGTATTTTAATATGGTTCTGACTAAAACAAGACTGTATTTTAATATGGTTCTGACTAAAACAATATGAACGTATCTGAAACTGCAGCATTTGGAGGTCACAAATCATGAAATTAAATCAACATTAACTGGTCAATGTGTGTTATCCTTATGTATAGTCAGTAGGGTTTATCCTTGTAACTGATCAATATGCCAGGGTTTATCCTTGTAACTGGTCAATATGCCAGGGTTTGTCCTTATAACTGGTCAATATGCCAGGGTTTATCCTTGTAACTGGTCAATAAGCCAATGTTTATCCTTGTAACTGGTCAATAAGCCAGGGTTTATCCTATCCTTGTAACTGGTCAATATGGTGTAACACTGA